AAAAAAAAAAAAAAAAAGCTGGCTGCAGTGGCTCACACCTGTAATCCCAGCACTTTGGAAGGCCAAGGCAGGGAGATCATGAGGTCAGGAGATTGAGACCATCCTGGCTAACACGGTGAAACCCCATCTCTACTAAAGATACAAAAAATTAGCCAGGTATAGTAGCACATGCCTGTAATCCCAGCTACTTGGGAGGCTGAGGCAGGAGAATCACTTGAACCTGGGAGGCAGAGGTTGCAGTGAACCAAGATCATACCACTGCACTCCAGCCTAGGCAACAGAGCAAGACTCTGTCTCAAAAAAAAAAAAAGAAAAAAGAAATGCAATATAAAGCAACTTTCAGTCTCGTGCACGTTTTAAAGTTTCAAAATGTAATGAAAAATGAAAATAACTGGTATTGGGGAAGACACAGGAAGAGGCATTGACCTTGGAACATGACACACTTGACTGCTTCTTACTAGCTGCGAGAGCCAGTGTACGTTATCTCCCCTCTCTGTGCCTCAGTTTCCTTATCTGTACAAATAAGAAAGTTCAGAAATATGTTAAAAATCCCATTTATTATAATCACAACTATAAATATCCTAAAACAAAATAAGAAATATCAAAACCCATTTAAAAAGGGAAGTATCAAAAAAAAGGGAAGTATCTTCATATCAACCTATAAATTATATGCAATTTTTATTAACATCCAAATGGCAATTTTCAAAAGTTGATTCTCTAGTTTATTTGGAAAACAAACATTTCAAAACAGCCAAGAAAGCTCTGAAAAACAACTGTGACCAAATAAGACTTGGCCTATGAGATATTAAAAAGAACTATGAAACTAGATTGTAAGCAGGGTAGAATGGTACTGACCAGGAAAAGACAAGCGGAGCAGTGAGGTGGAACAGAAACCACAAAGTAACTCAAGTTCATACATTTAAGATTTTATACACACTCAAAGTAGCACTTCAGATCAGTGGGGAAAGACTGACTTATTCAATAAACAGCACAAGGATAACTGGCTATGATGTTTTCTGGCGATTTGAGTGCCTATTCAGTTAAATGAAATACTTATCTAGTTCTTACTACATTAAAAGCTCTATGCTAATAAGCACAGGAAGTTAGAAAGATAAATAATGTGATCCCTACTCAAGATATTATATTTGGCCAGGTGATGTGGCTCACACCTGTAATCACAGGACTTTGGGAGGCTAAGGCGGGTAGATCACCTGAGGTCAGGAGTTTGAGACCAGCCTGACCAAAATGGTAAAACTTACTATCTCTAAAACACAACAACAACAAAAGATACTTATATTTTAGTGGAAGGTATATATATGTATACAAGCAAATATAATATTATATAAGCAAATATAATATAATACAAGGCAGGGTATGATGAATCCAAAGAAATATAGGAATACTAATTATGGGAGTGACAAATTATCAGTGAAGATGGTGGGGAGGTCACCCACTGACTAACCAATTCATCCCAGACACTACGCCAAGGTTCTGGCCATATTAATGGCCAGTGTCTGTCCAGTCTGGTCCTCTAAACACTTGTCTGTTATAGGGATCAAGGAGGAGTGGCTGAAGCCATAGTAACTGGCTGATTGACAATTCAAGGATCCTGGCTCCTAACCCTCTTTCATCTCAAAGTAACTAATGTGTCTCTGTAAAATGCTTCCTAGTTTAAGGACTGATCCAATAAACACACCCAGAATTACCCAAACTTTTAATTCACTGTCTCAAATACAAAGAAATGATAAATGTTTCAGGTGATAGATATGCCATTTACCTCGATGTGATTATTATACATTGGATATTATGGCTCAGAAAAGTTAAATGATTTCTGTAGTGGCATACAGCTGGCAAGTGGTAGAATCAGGATTAAGCCCAGAATGTATGAGCACAAATTCAATGGATGGCCGGCATGGTGGCTCATGCCTGTAATCCCAGCACTCTGGGAGGCCGAGGTAGGCGGGTCACCTGAGGGTGAGAGTTTGAGACCAACCTGACCAACATGGAGAAACCCCATCACTACTAAAAATACAAAAATTGGCCGGGCATGGTGGTGCATGCCTGTAATCCCAAGTACTCAGGAGGCTGAGGCAGGAGAATCACTTGAACCTAGGACGCAGAGGTTTTGGTGGGCCAAGACTGCACCATTGCACTCCAGCCTGGGCAACAAGAGTGAGACTTCATCTCAAAAAATAAAAATAAAAAAATCAATGGAGGACAAAAACCCCATTTCCTGTAAATATACACTGGCTTTGAATAATCAAATTAGTAAATAGTTCAAAATAATTAACATTAGATGGATATTTTAAAATCATTTTATTTTGTAATAATATTCATACAGTACAACCTGTTGAAGCAACAAAGCTAAAAAACCCAGTGATCTAATTCTAGTTCCCACAGGTAACAAGAGTCTCTACTCCATTGGCAACAGTGAGGTCTTGCTATGTTGCCCAGGCAAGTCTAGAACCCCTGGGTTCAAGTAATATACTCACTTCAGCCTCCCAAAGTGCTGGGATTACAGGCATGAGCCATCAAAACTGGCCAATTTTTTGAAAAGTCTGAAATTAGGTCAAAATTTTGAAAAAGTTACAGCAATTATGACAACCTCAATTATAGGTAAATGGGTATCATATTAACTCCTTTACATTTTAAGTATTTCATTATTTCAAAATAAAAAATATCAAGCAAAGCAAATTGTTTATGAGAGGAAACCTCAGAAGAGATGAGATAGTCAGACGGTAGAAGACTTTCTTTCAGGAAACTGAAACCAGGTGCCCTCAGGTGGCTGCAGAGGGAGTGAGAGCTTAGCACCCCCTCTCCCCTGGAGCCTAGTGGCCACATGCAGATAACCAGCTGCCCAACTCTTCAGGTCTGACCTGGCATTGTACTTATCTATAACTGGAAGTTCTTCTCTGACAGGGTAGATTAGTAAACATTAAAACACAGGCCGGGCGCGGTGGCTCACGCCTGTAATCCCAGCACTTTGGGAGGCCGAGGAGGGTGGATCACGAGGTCAAGAGATCGAGACCATCCTGGTCAACATGGTGAAACCCCATCTCTACTAAAAATACAAAAAATCAGTTGGGCATGGTGGCGCGTGCCTGTAATCCCAGCTA